TCTGAATAGACACGTGTGGCGAAGTACCTATCCAACAAGGCTCACAATAAAAAGAATTCTGCGGAGGACTAACGAAATCGTAGATAAAAAAGAGAACTAGAGAACATCTGATAAGAGCTGGTCAAATACACCAAAAAAACAAAATTGGAACAAATCCTGGAGCTAGCTTGACCCCAGCCCCCCATTTTTTTGAATTTGTTGCAGTATTTTTGGCTCATTCAATTGTGCTCGTTTTGTGCTCAATTATGCTGGTGTAATTGCGAATTGTGCGAATATTTTTGGTTCATTTAATTTTGATCGTTTTCTCTTTGTTCCAATGAGCAGCCAACAATAAAAACATAAAAGCGAATCCAACTCCAAGCTCATCATAATTAATATTAATATGTATCTAATTTATTCTAGCCAGTATAAATGATTTTTTTTCATTAACAAACCAAAGAATAAACGACAGCCTTTACAGAAGGCCTATTCAGGCAGTTATTATTGTTGGGTGATGGTAATGAAACAGGGTGGTGAATAGTAAATACCTTTGAAATTCGATTTAGCTATTTATTATCAACTAAAAAGGGTTTCGTCTAGACTTTGGTATTGTTATCCTAGTCGGTACCTCAGGTACCAAGTACCGAACCTGATATATAGTGAAGAAAATTTGGCACCTGAATTAAAAATAATAGCATTAGAACAAATCTGGGTGGACTCAATCCCGATTTTTTATTTTTTTTGCAACATTTTTGGCTCATTCAATTTTGATTTTTTCTCATCCTTGTTTCTTAATGAGCAGCCAACAATAGAAACGAATTCCAGCTCCAAGCTCATCATAATTATTATTAATATGTATATAATTTATTCCAGTCAGTATCGGATAAAAGTCTGGAAGAATTTGGCTTGGCTACCTAATTTTAACATAATATTGGGAAAACGCAGTATTGGGAGATTGGGACAATTTAATAAGAAGCGGCAATAAGTTTTTAAAGTTGCTGCTCAACTATACTGCAGGAAACTAAATAAATTATTTTTTTGCTATTGACAAACCAAAGAATAAACTATAGCCTATCCTATCCAAATACATATTCTTTTTTATATCAAAGAAGACCTATTCAGGCAGTTATTATTGTTGGGTAATGGTAATGAAACAGGGTGGTGAATAGTAAATATGTATTTTGAAATTCGATTTAGCTATTTATTATCAAGTAAAAAGGGTTTTGTTTAGACTTTGGTATTGTTGTCCTAGTGGGTACTTCTACCTGATAATATACAGTGAAGAAAATTTGGCAAGTGCATTTGAAATAATAGCATACATGAAAAAGTTATAATAGCTAATGTTTAGCTTGAGATTTAAATAAGATCATTGCTTACCATAAAGTCAAAAAAATGGGGTGGCTGGCGGTTAGGCTGATGGCCCCCGGATTTGTTTAATTTTTTTTTTTTGTTACATGGAAGACAGCACGGTTCTTAACTAAACCGGCACCATTAAGCACAATTGAATGAGCCAAAAATATTGCAAAAAGGACAAAAAAATGGGGGGCTGGGGTCAAGCTCTCAGATTTGTTTCAATTTTTTTTGGTGTATGGAAAAGGGCGCAATTCGCCTTAACACCGGCACAATTGAGCACAATGGACTACAATCACAGAATAACAAAAAGCCCCTTGAACAACGGATGTCTAATAATGATGCTATGAAGAGTCTAGTAGTAGTCGTTAGCGAGTTAATGCCCATTATGAATGCAAGACATTAGAATATCAATTCTTACTCATACTTTGATAGGCAGCCGACGACCCTAAATACTCTCTAAAAAGAAAAATTGTGTCGATACCATCGAACCTGGCGGATTTCTTCAGTTCCGGTTTTCAACCTTGTTATCAAAACTTGCTCATGTATCCTGCTCTGCTCTTGCAGCCCCCCCTCCTATGTTTCCTGCCTGTTTATCCGGGTCGAGACATGACAAAACTCTAATTATAACGGTACCTACATTATGGCAAACACGACTAAATATTACATGTTTCGTCTTATTCATCAGACCGATTAAAGAAATGCTTACAGCATTTTAATAATAAATACATGAAATTCAAGGAGAATTCCTGTTCACCGTCACCATTCCCTATATTATTTTGTATTTTGTACATTTTTATAAAAAAAAAAACGATAAAATATTGTGGTGAATGCCGACAAAAGCAGCGCCAGCACAAACGTGACAGAATGTATTCCACCATCATGGCTCAAAAAAAAACTATATTCTGGTCTAGTAAACTAGAAACCACAACTGAATGACTGAATGCAACAATTAATTGAGAAAACGCTTCGATAGAAATCACTTATTCTAAGGAAAAAAAATTAATAATACCTAATAGCAATTACAACGCATATGCTGCATGTAGAATAATTTGATGTAAGGCGCGCTAGACATGATTTTATTGAAAAAATAAACGCTGATAACAGTATTTATTCACCGTAACATGAGTATGACTGGTACTTAAAGTGATAAGTTACATTTACACTTCCATTTGCTTATTGGTTTACACGTTTTCGCACCGTCGTTTAGTACGGATCTTCAAGAGCCCAGTGACCGGAAATCGGAATAAGCCTAACATGTCTTCCAGCTTATATGCAATAAAATTGTAGAAAAACTGTAGAGATGACTAGCGTATAAGAGCAGCGCTCCGATTTGGGCAAGTAAATTATAAAGCATGGCCGTGCTCATTTTCTTATTTCCATTACTTTATCAATCAATAACTGAATAATCAACCAATTTTTTTTTTCAAATTCGGTTCAATTGAAAGAATGCAATTATGTTCTACGCAATTTAATTCTATCCTTATCATTAATCCAATTTTCCCTTTTTAATTCTCCATTATGTATTATAATTAAATAAAAACAATTAAATCGTTATTCCTAGATTATGATAAAAAAATGTACCTACCCACACCAAGTTGCAAAGGACCCAATTTACCGTATAAACTAATAATCGCGCTTTATTGTAATTTTTATTGAAATATTATTGATACAATATTAAGGTTGAAGGTTTCGAGTAAAATAATATCGTTATCTGTTGTCAAACATGTTATTTGTCAATAATAAAGATTGGTCTTGGGAGAAATATTAGGTAATTGGATAAGTATATTGACAATTTTGATATTTTTAATTTACTGTTCTCATGCATGGAAAAACAAAGGACAATCATAATTTATCATAGATAGAGTGGCCATGAGCAACTTATAATTGCCAAGTAAAAAATTATTAGCTTTTCAAAAATTATAAAACATCAAACTGTATATAGGATTGGCACACTGAGGCAAATTGAACTTATTCTGTCTACTGGAAATAGGAAAAAACTGTGCAAAAAAAAGTTACATTAGATTTAATGACAACCTATCATCAATTCTATCATAGTTCGGGATGTTCTTCTGCGTCATCACAATCTAGAATTTTCGTCAACGCCATTGCTGTTATTTTCACTAAATAATAAAATGAACAGTCGCCAAGTTTTCTTGATGCACCCTGTATATTTTCCAGAAATCTTAAAATTTGCAAGAAAATAAAATAAAATCTACGTGTCCGAGCGTTTTCTATTCAGGTGGTTTGTTTACCTGTAAAAGATACCTTTTCAGACTTTATTTCCTGACTGTATATTTATTATTCTTATATTTTTATGCATTTCATTTATTATTCATTTTTTAATTACCTAATTAATTTTTTTGTATTTTATTTAGTTCATCCCCGAAAAAAATGATTCCTGTTCCTAACTGCATTTACTAATGTTCCCTACTCAGTTCCCTCATTTTTAGATATGTGATTACATTGATGAGCATTCTTATTTCAAAAATATACATAGTCAAAACCAGTTGTATTTCGCAGGTCAAGAATACTTATATTTTGATTGTTTGTTTATTCCCAATTAATTTCTCGGTTTTCAGTGCTTATGAAAATTGAACATTTTGTTCTTCGGGAGTGAAATAAAAAAAAAATCTTTGAATCTAAAAGACCCAATTTTTTTTAAAAACATCTTTGAATAAAAAGGTTGGAAACCACAAGAGTCCCATCTTAAACGAACACAAGCTGTAGAAAATTATCTACACCGGGCTTCGCGAAAAATTTCCCAGATCGTGTGACGTTGTCATTATATGGCGAAAATTAGGTAATAAACCCATGGTAACAGCCAGTTACAGAATAGACTGAGTAAATCATTTGGATAGTATTGTAAAAATTCTGTTAGAATATTCAACTGCTAATTGGAACACTTGAATAACAGCCTTCGAGCAGCCTTTAGTTACTCCACAAAACGGTGATTCTCATTGTTTAACTGTTTTTCGCTCCTGCTGCTCTGTCAACTTTTTGTCCATGTTACAAAACTATTAATTTTATAGAAAAATCAAAAGTGCATTCAATTTCAAATCAATCATCTCGATTATTTTGACTCTGTTGATCGGAAAATTTACCCTAAGCGGGCAAATTTAAATAAGTATACCCATACTTACATGATAGGTCAAATAAAAAATTTGTGATAAATGGGTACCTATATAATATATTTTATCGCATTTTTGACAATATTGTGATACATAAACTCATTCAAAATTGAGCGGTAAAGTGCCATTCTACCTCTATAGCAACACTTTACCACATAGCAAACATTATCAGTGCTTTTTGATCTTTTCCCTTATAATTTTTAGCGGTTTCTAGGTTACCGAAAAAAAAACTAACCATAAATTGGCTACCATGTCTGTTTTGGACGTCATTTCAAAAATTATTTTTATTTCATGTCAAAAGTAAAAACATTTTTTTAACCATTTATATCTTATACAATATGCAATAAACTAGTGTAAGCAAGTCGTTAGCAAAGGGTTTTACCAATTTCGTGAGGCCTTAGAGCACTCGCTCGCTTCGCTCCCTCGTACACAAAACTGGCCACCCTCGATTGGTAAAAGCTCACTTTACTAAACTAAAGTATACTATTAATTTGTATGCCAATCAACCAAATTGAATAATAATTTCCTTCTTTATTACAGATGGCTTCCGACTATCCAAATGACCATAATGCGAACGGAAACAACCACCACGTCCTGACAATAAAAAATAATCCCTTGAGGGGCATCGTAACTACAACTTCACAGGTAAGAATAGCCAGAAGCTGATTTTTGAACAATCATGAATTTTCAAACAAACTAACCCAACAAGAGGGCAATTAGTCGAGTTTAGATGGCTGACAGTCCATTTCAGTTTCACGGAAAGAAAATTTGAGAATACAGTGTGTCCGAGATAAGGATGGGATAGCATTAGGATCTGGAGAACGGTTGGAGTTACAATGTTGGTTAGATTACGAAAAAGTTGCGCAAATTTAACGCTCAATGAAATGGAACTTTGACATTTGGAAAATTCCGAACAATTTCGGAGATATCCGGAAAAAACCGAAATTTTGCAAAATCGATTTTATTTTTTTTCTGAACTTATTTGAACAGATATCTTAAAATGAATGTCACCTCATCATTGTCACTTTCAAATTTAAAATCTGACGTTTCGTCTTTGGGCCACCATCATCAACTTCATTTTTTTAAATACGCCCCTCGATTTTTTATTTCAGATTTTAAGAGCTTCTATGATGTACCAAAACCTATGACGTATCGCATTTATTCGAAAAAATATTTTTTTAACTTCTCAATAATTTCCTTCCAAAATTCTCTTTTCTGTCTGTCTTTAACACATTAAGTTTTTATGGAAAGTGTCAATAATATAATTTTTTCGAATAAGTGCAATACGTCATTGAATTTGGGACATTAGAAGCTTATAAAATTTAAAATAAAAAATAAGGGTCCGTATTGAAAAAAATGAAGTTGATGATAATGGCCCAAAGACGAAACGTCAAATTTTAAAATTGAAAATGTCATCTTGTAGAGTAGGAAAAGTGGTGGGGATGAAGTGAATTGATTTTGCAAAATTTCGGTTTTTTTCCGGATATCTCGGAAAATGTTCGGGAATTTTCAAATGTCAAAGTCAAACAAAAAGCTTTATTTAAAACTTAGTATCTTATCTTTAGAACGAAATTAACGAGTGAAGAGCAACCAACACCTCAAACTAAGATTGTGGCTTCGTTTTTATTAACAAAATCACAATTTTAATTTTCAACATCTTTAGCAGAATGGTTCCATTGAATATTTGGAAATAATTGCAATCATTTATTCAAAAGTTCCATTCAATCAATTATAAAGGCGCTTCAAATCATCGTTAAATAACAAAATTGAATTCCGCAAACTGAAGTGACTCAACTATTAAATAGATTAATAATACTATAGACTCTCAAAATCGAATTAGTTTCAATTCTTATGAATGGAATTCTTATAAGTCTCTATTACGTAAGCGCGAAAAAATAAAACTTGCGGTTTAAAAATAGACGAACTAGGTACTCTTTGATTTTAACCTCGATTATAACTATTTTTATTTCTATTCAATTACATTGTCTTGTGGGAATAGTAAACAATCGTAGATGATGCCGTCATATAACATATAAACATCTGAAATTTTACATCACTGTTCTATTGCATGGCGATATTTTCGCCTACACACAATATACAATTCTTATTGACTGATGTTTACATTGTTATTGGCACGACTTATGCAATTATGCAAAAGTACCACAGAGTCAATTATACCTGAAAGAAAATCCCCAAAGACTGCGCAGTTTTCATATCCACATTAATTTTGCTGATACCTTATTATGTAATTCAATATTGTTTTCTTATAATATTTATGACTGTATTGAATAATCTTTTATCAGTACGCGCCTGAAAATAATTGCAACTCAAATGTTTGTTTTACTAATAAAAGCTTCTCAGATAACATTCCAGCCTTATGGATAACAAATTCAAAAATAATGTTAGTTGTGGAAGTGAAAAAAAAAATTGGCTAATGTTAAGATAAATATTGTGTATGCCGGATGCTAATTTTTCAAAAAATATATCAGAAAATCAGCATTATGGAAAAAAAACTAATAAATTTAAGGCCAAATTAATAATCCTTCAATAAGACCCATAGTAAACAACTTTGTGTAAATAAATAGGACAGTGATTAGTCATAGGAAATAAAATGTTTTTGGCCCTTGCTAATCGCTTTTTGCTAATAATAACATTATGGGGTTACTTGGTCCAATTTATGTGGGTAAGCTCCACGTTGGGCGTCTAAATGAGAAAAAATATACTAAAAGTCTAAAAGCGTTGATTCGTGAATAAATTGACCATTGCCCAGTTAATACTAGGTTCAATCGAAACACATTCGATCTGCGTAGCCATGACTTCATCGTTCAGGCAAATAAATGTATTTGTATGTGTTACAGGACAAATATGAAATCAGACCGAAGGTATATGATCTAGCACAGTCTAGGTCGTGTTTAAATTAACGGCCTAATTGGCTCAGACTGGTATACAAAGGACATGGTATTTCATTTTAAAACCCGAAGAACAACTGTTATGAGAATTCTCATCCCAGACGTCGATTGTGACAGAGGAGATGCTCAGTCTAAACAGTAGTGCTAGAAGCTACAGAAGATGGCTTTTATCAGTTGGGCGCTAACCAAGGAGTTATTTCAAAATACCATAGTCGTTAGTACAATTCCTGCCAAAATTTTGGCAATTCCAGAAGCCTGCAAAGACAAGGAAGTTCCGCTTATATTGATGGCTACAGCTCAATCTACTTGACATGGGCAAGATTTTGAAAAATGTTATTGTTGGACTGAATGTAAAAATCTCTATAATATTCTAGGGAATAATGTCATAATAGCTTAGGTTCTATAAATAAATTGAATAGCATGTGTTCAAATATCACAGTACCTACCTAGGGCCCCAGTTGCAGATCGTATACAATTATACTATTCTTTTTGGAAATCAAATAGTCCGTTTGTCGAAGCTTATTATACAAAATATGGGCTAATATCTTCAGTTCATATACATATGGACAGTATTTTTGTATACGGCCTGTTTCACGTAAAAAAATTGGGCCCTAACATAATATACCTTTGGTACCAGTGACGCGCCATTCAGAAATATTTGCAGCTTGATCTTTTCTAAACTCTCTGGCTAAGTTAAAAAATGATATCTATGATAAAAATTCGTCCAAAAATAATATTTGCGTCGTTATTCAGTTTTTGGCCGCTGAGGAGCTTCAAACAATAGAAATTTTTATGAGATTGAAAATCAGCAATCATGCAGTAAAGACTGCATGTGGTGTTTCAACGTCAAATAAACATGTGAGACAGCTGGAAACTGCTTCTCAGGACACGGGCAAATAGATGCATCACATGTCAAACATCAGCGAGGGAACTATTGGTTCAATCATTCATAGTCTTGACTAGAACAGTTATTGCTCACTGGATTCCAGACCGCTTACTGATGGGCAGAAGTAATTGCGTACGGGATTACACCATTTGATAGGCTACCAATACCAACAGCAGAGTGAACGCCTTTTTTACAACGAATTATTGCCGTTGATGAGCATTGGACTCACCACTGCAAACCAAAATCCAAATGTCAGATGCAGTGGAAGCATGCACAATCTCCGAAAGCGCAAACGTATCTGTCCTAGCCTCTAGCAGTAATAGTAATGGTATCCGTATTCACTAATTATCAGGAGATGCTGCTCTAAACGCCCCCACAGACCTCATATTTTTTCGCACAGGCTGACTGTGCAGACCAATTTGTGCAAATTAATCTGTACCTGTGCCCCTCGTACACACCCGCAGTTTTTAGCACGCACTTCAAGAATATTTTTCAGTGACGCTATTTAAGTTTGAAAATGCATTGACATTAGAAAGTTCTCGTGCTTTCGACGCTACGCTAATACGGTAACGCTAACAATACGGTATTTTATATGGTATTTTATAGTTCTCGGACACGAAGACACAAAAATCCTCTAATCCCTTATTCTGTTTACATTTTGACAACTGAACTGAGTGATGTAACCCAACTTTTTTTTGCTTGTTTGCTAACTTTTATTTACCCTGAAGATTCCTGAGTTTCATTAATTCTCCCTTGGTGTTTTCTATGGGGGAATTATTAGAAATTGCTGTCCTTGCAGACGTAAATGGAGCGTAAACTGATTTTGACATAGCATAGCGTTACGGTAAGGCTTCCCCTAACTCCCGTTAGGTAGCGGGCTACGCTAATACCGTAAGAACTGTCATACTTGTCAAATAACATTACGGTATTTGAAATTTGGGCAGCACGAGAACTCTCTATTAACCTAAATTAGGTCTGTTTCCGATTCCTTATATATGGTGAGGGTTACTTAATGCAATTTTGAACTGAGATAGCGCAAAAACAGCTGAACCAAATATCAACATATATGGTATATTGGGAATCAGAAGGAACAAATCAATCATTCTAGCCAAAAATACACAAAGTGTTCCATTTAAAAAAATGCAAGTGTTTGTCATTATGACAATTGGCAACTGTCATTTGCCTGTTTTGACATGTGCAAAAGATAATAGAGGTAAAACCCTACAACTTTTGTATTCAACATTTTTTTTGTTTAAGTTGTAGAAGCCGCACTAATTATAAGGAACAGGCCCTGTACATGGTCTTCTGGGCCGGTATTCTCGTCCTTGAAAACGCTCACCGCTTTTTAGTCGCTCGGCACTTTTAATGTGAATTTACATACCGAGAATACCGATCCTGGTATGTATGCTGGCTGTGAAAAAAAAAAAATCTGTCAAAATTTTTTTTTCTGGCTTGAGAATTTTTAGTTTTTATATGGCCATTTAAATAAAAATAGATGCAAATAAAACACAAATAAGATAAATACTTTCTTATATAGTAAGCTGTTATGAACAAAATAAAATAATTTGTTGTGTATTTTAATCTCACAAATTTCTCCAATTAATTTTATAGGATTACATTTTTAAAAATCATTGTATTGAATCAACTGATAAAGTTGAACTAATTTATTATTGCTTACATGTAATAATATTTATAATTATCTACTAATTTATTATAATTATTATTATACAAGAATGATAACAGATAACACCATAAATCACAACACGAATATATTAAAATCACAGCTAAAATTCCGCTCTACATCGCACGCCTATGACCTGACCTCCGCAAGAACAAAACAAATAATTTTT